TGCATGTCCAGAACAAGGAGACAAAATTTCCAATGATGTAAATCCGGATAATAAGTTATTCAGAACACTCTGTACTAAAATTTCAGTTTAAGCCGGAAATTGCAGGTTATTAATGAATTTCCGTGAAATCACTATCGTAAGTTACGTAAGCCTTTGAAGAACTAAGGATTTCCAATGCATATAAACCTAGAACCGATTCCCAACTGTCTGAGAAGTGAAAGCTTGGTTAATTTTTTCAAATAAATAAAATCATTAATGATGTACTTATCCAATCAGAATTCAAAATTATCCTCAGAACACGGAACCAATTATGAAATATTTACAATTAAATGAGTAATGTGTATAATATTTAAATTCATTCTTATCTACAGTAGATATTAGATTTAATATCAATTAATAATTTTATGCTCCCTTTTGTTCCGGAAACTCTGAAAACTATAGTCCATACCCCTTGTTATTGTATAATTATTTGCATTTTTTTTCTCCCTGTATGTTCATTTCACATTTCAACTGTTTCAACGTGAAAAAATAAACAACGTTGTTATTTTCACTATGGCATTTTTCATCCTGCAATAATTTAGTGAAAAGTTGTGATTCCGCGTATTTCTCGAGAAAATATAAAATATTATAAGCTAATTTAAAGTCGTTGTGTTCCATATATATTCATATTTAGCAAATCTGTTTATTCTTAGATTACTTTGTTTCTACACCTCTAGTGTGATACAGACCCCCATTATAAACCATAGCCTTCTCATCAGTTAATACATTTCATGATAATATTATTGTATATCTCAAAGATAGGCTTGTTTCTTTTTAGCTTCATATATACAATTCTAGGAATTTGTAAAAGTTTTAATTTACTAACGTATCTTTCTTCTTTTGAGCCCATGCCTTCTTCCGTAAATTACTTACACATTTAAATAATCGTATGATATTGTTTAACTTCATCCAATTAAAACAATTGTAATAAAAAAAATTGTTTAAAAATGACCGACATTCAGAATATACAAAATGTATCGGACTGTGTGCCACTTTACTTGCCGCATAGTTTATACCTTAAACCACTGGCCAAGATGACAATATCTGTGTCATTGCCTGTTAATAAAACAGGCAAATCCATTTCCCACCTAGATGTAATGGAAAAATTAAGTGCCGCTTTGAAACCGGATAAGTTCTTTGTTTTAAAAGTAAATATTTTAAGCATAACTTATGCATAGAAGTTAACGATTTATTCGCGCAGGCATCAAAAAGCACTATAGATTTCATTCGCTTCGAAGCTGAGTTGGAGGATCGTACTAAATTGCGCAGTGCCATTTCTCGAATAGATGGAGTGTCACTGCGTTTATCTGGTTTTAGTGAATCATTTCGGGTGCGCGCAACCGAAACAAAAGATGAATTTCCCACCCGGCATGATTGGGATTCATTCTTTCGAGATGCCAGCAATATGGATGAGATGAAGGCTGGTGAACGTCCTGACACCATACATCTGACGCATTTGCCCGTTCGATGGTTCTGCCCCAGACACATGGAAAATGACGACAATGTCAAACCAAGCGAAAGTATCTTCAAACGAATTTTCGAGAAATTCGGATGCGTTCGTTATGTGGATATACCCATATGCGATCCATATCGAAACAAAATGAACGCAGATATCAACGGTATGAAAACGTTCAGCTATGAGCATGGAGTACTCTTCGAAGCGTAAGTAAATGTTGAAGGCCCACTATAGAAAACCATAATAAATATGTCTTAATTATTAAGTTACGTTCAATTCGATGAGTATATGGGGTTTGTACGAGCGATGGATGACTTTAGAGGCATGAAATTAGTTCGCAAATTTGTTGATAAAACCCAAGCAATTAACATTAACGTTAATTTTGACAAAACGAAACATCTCAGCGACGCGCAGATTCAACGTAGAGAGCGGGTACGCAAACGCTTGATCCAAAAGGCACAAAGTGAGGAGGAGGAGAGAGAAAAGAAGAAAAAAGAAGAGCTTGAAAAACAAGAACAAGAAAGGTCTGCAGTTTTATTTATTTTATTATTTTATTTAAGCGCATGAGTTAATGAAGTGCAACAAATGAGAATTGTGTTCTCATTTGTTGTCATCTTCCAATATATTTAGAGTTTTACGATTTTTTTCATAAACAACTTCCATCATAAAATTTAAGATTAAGATTTTTGGGAAGCCAAGAAAAATGTCAGTATAATTGAAAACAAATTACACTGTAAACCAAACAATGAAGGGTAGCGAATAAAAAATTACAGGCAAAAAGAAGAACAGATAAAATTAGCTGAATTAGAGAAGCAGCGCGAAAGAGAGGAGAAACGTAAGGAGAAACATCTGAAAAAAATACAGGAGAAAGGCCAAGTTGAAATATCACAGAAAATTCGTATCGAGGAGCGCAAATTAATGATTGCCCAGAGAAAGTTGGAGAGCATACGAATATTAGAAGAGCTTTTTGACCGCATCAAGGTATCATCATATTGTTTCAGGTTAAAATGCAGCCCTAATATTATATGTGTGATTCTTCCTCGTTTTGCATAGTTAAACCATGAAGGCAAATATTCCAAATTAGGTGCTGAGAGCCACAAGATGGATCTTCGAGATCGCTTAGTCGAAAAATATAAAATGGCCACTGAAAAATTGCTCACCGAGCAAAAAAAAAAAGTAGAAGAAATCAAAACGAAAACCCCACTAATGGGTCTCCTAAAGGGTAGCAGACCACGTCGCTCTGAAAGTTCTGATGTGGATGAAACTAAAGTGAAAAACAAACCTATTGTCGCTCAGTCTACTACCGATGCTGCAAGTGTGCCTGCAGTGCCTAATGTCGGGCTAAATCCTTTGAATCCCTTCAAAGCTGTCGCAGCACTGGCTGCAGCTGGTGGCGCAGCTCCTGGTTCCTTGCCTCCTGGATATCCACCTGAAGCTGCTAGCGAATGGATGAAATCCCTCTCTATGTTTCCGTATGTCCCTCCTGTGTTTGGAGGCATGTCTGCACTCTATCGACCACCTACCGCTTTTCCTGTATCCATGAACTATCGTGGTTATCTACCTCGTATACGGGGTCGCGGTCGAGGAAGCCGTGGGCGCGGTAGAGGTGGCTACGAAACATCGTATTACAATAGTTACAAAAATAATTACGACGATGAACAGTATGATGAAAATGATTACCACAAAGAATCCTATTCACGCTCGAGGTAAATTTAATATGGAAAAAATGCACTCTTAATAAAATTATATATTATATAATATTATATTTTATTTTGCAGAAATCGCTCACGTAGTCGCTCCTACACGCGCTCCCGTTCACGTAAACGTCATTACTCCAAGCGCAGCCGATCTCGTTCGCGAAGCCGTAGTCGCAGTCGTACTCGTAGTCGAAGCCGTACACCTTCACGTTCCAGACAGCGACGTTCACGTACTCGATCACGTTCAGAACGTCGTTCACATTCACGTTCTTATACACGCTCACGCACCCGTTCCCGCTCGCATTCAAAATCGAAAACGAGACGCACTTCACACTCCCGTGATGATTCCAAAACTCGTAAATCACGTTCACGCTCCAAAAGTCCAATACAACAGCGTACTAATAAGAAGCTGGTATCCACACGTCGTTCTTACTCGACATCAGAATCATCACGCTCACGTTCCAAGTCCCGTTCACGCACACAGTCGAAGCGCTCTTGGTCTAAACGTGGTGAAAGATCGCCAGGGAAACGGCATGTTGTGTTAGAAGCTGACAAGTTAGTTCGATCGGCGGAGGAAATGAAACGTACAATAGAAAAGGTCACCCAAGATCGGATGCGACAGGAGGAACGAGAGATAAAGGAGAACTTTCGACACTGTAAGCCCAATTCAACACGCAACGTGTCAAATTCTGGCACCATAGATGCGGGGAATGCAATTGTGACAAGCTCTGAAAACGATATGAAGGATACGAAATCCAGCGAAAACGGTGATAATAACGTAGAGTTAGTGGACAATTCAATTTCTCCAGCTAAAAATAAAAGCGAAGATGTCAAGCGAAGTCGCAGCAGAGAACGTTCGCGTAAATATTCACATCGCTCATCTCATTCAAGGCGCAACTCATATGAACGTGAAGCAGATGCATATTAACCACATTAAACGCTTATATTTAAGTCAAAATATATAATTATATATAAGAGTAATATAGACGAAAAAAATTGATTTAGACTAAAAAGAAAAATAAATGTATTAATGTACATGTATGCTGATATCCTAAGTAAATATTAAAATTGCTGAGTAGAGACCTTAAAAAAAGTAAATTATCTAAAACTTAAAATATGTATTAAAATTAAAAATACAGTTCTTCGAATAACTACTTCAATATTAAGTCAAAAATTAAATATCTGAATTATACTCAGTTCCTATCGCGAAAATAGGTGAGTCACCTATCGTTTATGAAGTTATTACGTATATTAGTTACCGTTTGTGAAAACTAGTGTGAAATAAAATAAACCAATCACATTTGGAGCACCCAAATTGGTAAGTACATTTAGATAGTAATAAATAGCAACATGATAAACTGTTTCAAAGGCAGGTGTCCTTAAACAATATTTCACGAACTTATTAGCAGCCCCTTATATGTACATATGTATTTATTTTAGTACTCTCTATATTTCAACATATGCTTAACCACATAAAAACCGGTTCATCAAACAGCTTGATTCTTTAACTCAGCTTTTGATCATATCGAAAGCAAAATCTAATCTTACCACTCAACCGCTTTAAATTATTTTGTCACAAATTTGCATACTGCAATACACATTATTCCATTTAACCCTTGACTGCTAGTAGCTCATTCGACAAGTGCTTAGCCAGAAGAATCTTAAATTCCAAGGCTAAGCAAAGAGAACTGTCCTCTTTATCTTCAAAATACAAAAACACAGTGATTGTGATTTTTTTCCTTTGTTCATATTCATATCATCTATTTCGGTAATTTAATAATTTAATTTAATAATTTTTTTTATTGAAAAAATTAAAATAATTAATAATTGCTAAATGTTTTCAGAAAAACATATGCTAAACATTAATTTACAACAGTGATGGCTTAATCATCTCATTTGCTCATACATAAAGAGTAAATACATTTCTACATACTACGACTTTCCTAATCGGGTATTATATTCTTTATTTTAGTTGCATCCTTATTAGAAATTGGGACGACAGGCGGAACAGAACTCGTTTCCCTAAATCCTAATGAAAAAAACTTAAGACGTATTCAGTAATTACATTATTTTTATATTTGTAAAAAATCCGGTAGAGTTGGAATACGCAGGCGTACGAAAGTTGTACGTTCACTCAACGTTCACAAAGCACATACATGCACACATTTCACCTTCAAACACTCGCTCTTACGACTTCAGGTTTAAACTTTTCACATTTACAAAGGAGATTTTACACATAAAAAATCGATCAACACTGGGACTTCATGTAAGTGTATATACATACATATATAACCTACAGAGTAGCCTAATGAAGATATATTCAGCCCTTTGTTGTTGTGTTGTGTATATGTGCATTTTATATACATATTGTTGCTACATAACCACCTAAAACCGCCTATTATTATTTCGTCCGCCGCGATTACGGCCACCGCCTCCACCACCACCTCGTCGATTGCCTCGACGCTGATTTCCGTAGTTGTTATTACTCAAATTGTTGTTCATATTCATATTACTCATGTGCATACCATTGTTTTCGTCAGGGCCGGGACCGCCACCACCCTTAGGGAACATATTGTCGCCATAATTAATGTTATCATTAAAATTCGGACCATTATACGGTCCATTGTTACCATTATAACCATTTTGATTAGGCGGTGACACCAAGTTCGGCCCACAACTTGATCCACTTCCCATAGGCGATGTGCTCCAAGGATTCGGTGGTTGTTGTTGCTGCTGTTGTTGGAAAGGCGGTCCCACTGCCCATGGATTGGGCCGACTCTGTTGCTGTTGCATTGGTGATTGCTGTTGTTGTTGTTGCTGATAATTCGGTTGCTGTTGCGGCTGCGGTTGCGGTTGCGGCGTAAGCGAATCGCGCACATCATCTGCGTACTCGGGCTTTTGTGGAGCCTGTTGTGACTTCATCTGTAACAAACAAGGCAAAAAGGGCTTCTTAAGACTTAGCAATTCGCGCACAGATACAAGTTGGGCACTATGCTGGCGCGGTTCAAAGCGGGATCGTTTCGATGGTGGTGAACTTTCACGTCCCTCCAAGGTAGGCGACAATGAACGCGATCGATCGCGAGTAGGCACAACATCACGCAATTCGTCCAATTTACCCGCATCGATATATTTGTTCAAATAATCAGGGCCCTGTCGTATGGCGACCATTACACGCGAGTCTGGATGTACACGAACGAATCGATTGTAAACGAGCAGACCAACAATAGCTTGCGGATCCATGGTGGTGAGCACACCACTCGCCAACATTCCCTCAATGGTGCTCTCACTAATTTGTTGATGTGACAAACCGCTGGTGTCTTTTGGCTCACGCATCGCCAGCTCATCGTGAAAACTACTTTCGTCGGGGCGACGTGAACCAGCCCATTGAGCCTGAAAGTTTCGCGGTATAGGTTTGCTGTATGGTACTTTTTTCTCACGATCACGATCACCCATTCTGGAAGGATCCAAATCCAAACCAGGAATAAAGCCCTTGTCGGCAGTGAGACTTTCCGTGAATTCAACTTTGTCCTCGGGACCCATACCAGGAATAACAGCATCATCTATAAAAACGATATATATATACATATATATTAAATGCTTGGCCATAGATATATAGATCACACTCGCACTCACCATATTCGCAATCATCCATTGCTGCCAAACTCGCAGGCAACGTGTTCAAATTATATTTATCACGCATCAAATCACCGGGGCGATTTCGTGTCCAGAACTTAATCGTGTGATCATTGGAACCTGAGCAAAGTATATGACCCAACGGATGCCAAGCTAGTGTCCAGACTATACTGTCGTGTGCGGTCTCCACACAGCCAATCTCCTTATCGGTACTACAGAAGCAAACATTAATTTATTTAATTAAAAACTTGTGTTTACTCGCAACTTACCCCACATTCCAGAAGAGTATGGAGCCATCGGAGCCGCCTGAGCAGAAGAGACCCTCATGTATTGGATGCCACGATACGGAGCTGGCCTCCTTTTTGTGGCCACGAAAAACTTGCATCTCTTCACGTAAATTACGCAAATCAAAAAGTTTGAGCAAATGATCACGGGATGCGGTAACTAGCCAATTACCATTATCATTCCACTTCAAATCCATCACAGTTGATTTGTGCGCATGCCTACACGAGAGAAATATAATAAAAATGCATTGAAAACGAGTTTTTGCTGTTTACAGGCAACTGACTTACAGTGTGGCTAACGCACTACCACTCTTCGGATCCCACAATTTTATTGGCTGCTGATTATCCTTACTGCCCGACACAATCAGACCCTTCTGTGGATGCCAGTGCACACATTTAACATCTGCACCATGGCCTGGAAGTTCGAACAATTATAAATAAAGTTAGTATTGTTAAGGTGTTACACAAAAGTGTCGTCTGGATCTTTATTATCTATATTTATTGTGTTTTTTTCTTTATAAATTTAATAAAATATTTTGAAAATTTGTGTTCTTAACTTTTTTCTTAAAAAATACAAAATTTAATAATGTAATTCTTCTAAAATTTTTGAATATTAAAATAATATCTATAGTGTTTTTTTTTACATGATCGAGCTTTTCTTAAGGACCTATTATGATGCGACTTATTTATTTCCGTAAACGTTGGATTAAAATTTAAATCGTGATGAGCTATTATTAGGTTACAACCTATGTATGCATACCCCAACTACATTACTTCTATATTCATAAACGGTGCCATATTTACCTCTCAGGACGCGCTCCTCCTGACAGCGCAAAAAATCCCATATTCGGAGTGTACCATCGTCGCTGCAGCTCACAAATTTACTATCCGTCGGACTGAAGCTGTAAAGCGTAGTAAAATATAAGATGTAAAACGGTTGTCGGAGATGGGCGGTGGGCGATATTGAACGTTATTGTTGTTGTACGACGCATACAGTTTTCGTGCATATTCAAGTTTGATAATAAAATTGATTAATTTAAAATGTTAAATAACATTTTGCAGCGGACATAAAAAATGTCGAAAGAAAAATTATAAGCATTTATTTTCAATATTTTAAATCTTAAAATATCTTCATAATTATAGTTAGGTCTAATTATATTTTATTAAATATACGTATCTCTAGGCAAAGTTACACTGCTACAAAACAACAAACTAATATAGAAGTCTCTTAAAAAGCCTGCAGCCGCTAACAATTACAATAACCGTACAGCAAATTACAAAGCTGAGACTGGATTATGGTAAATCGTTCACATCGCACTGTGGGAGAAATGCAGCTCGGTCAAGATTGAGTTTTTTTTTTTTTTTTTTTGGTAAACCAATTAACCAATATATGTTTGTACATATATACTTCTCACAATATTTTTAAAATAATTAAAATCGAGTTAATTATGGCGAAAAAAATATCGTTTACGTGCGTTTTTGTATTCCTTTATTATCTCATTGAAATTATATAGTTTCACTGTTTCAGTTAGGTGCCCAAATAACAGTTTAAAGCACAAATTCATCTCAATTCTAATTGAGTATCTGCCTAAAATTTGATATATGTTTTAGGGATTTTACTAAAACATATGTACCTAAGAAGCATTTATAAATTGCAATAAAAAGTCCCGTTGACTATATCATCAAAAGTGTTTTATTGAACATAAAAGCTCTCAACTCATATTTAGAATAAAAAGGCCAACTCCTTGTGAAATATTATTATTATTTATTTGAAAAGCGTTGTCGGATTTCCGCTTGGCGGATTGAGACCGATTTTCCATTTAAAAGTGTTAAATTATGACGAACAAAAACGAAACGTAAAAACTTGTGATAATATCCTAAGCTGCGCAACCAGAAGTCACCATTTCTATCCATTCTTATTAAAAAGTAAATGTACACATAAAAAAGTTGGCTCATTTGCTACTTCATAAAGTTGTCGTGGATGTTATCGAATGCACGAGCGCCTCAGCGAGCAGTGGGATAATGAGGAAATGTGTATGTTTCCAGTCGCAAATTGTGAAAGTGAAGGGAGAACGCAGCAAAAATATCGAAATTTCCAAATTTATTTGTTTTAAATTAAAAAATCAACTTTTAATTATTTTTCTCAATTTGCTTGCTTTATTCATATTCTCAGGAATCGTATGAAAAAATCAGTCTTTAATGCTTTATTTCAAAATTTTCTGGTAACAATAGTAATTTGCTTGTACATTGTTTGTAATTGATTAAATACTTTAACAAAATTATTTGTATGAGAATAAGAAAAATGGTTAGTAAGGCGCGATGTCGTTTATATTTATTTTGCAACAAAATTGGCCTTAACTTCACCAATAAATATGAAATAAACTAATTTCTGTATACGATCTTAAAACTAAATAACTTATCACACACATACACACTCGCGCAAATTTATATTTGGAAATAAAGAAACTATATGAAAATTATATGCACTAATTACTTCAGATGGGTTCTACTTTGCATTGTAAGTATTGGCTTTAACTTCAAAGTTAAATAATAGTCAAACTTCAAAAAAATTATTTGGGGTTTTTTGTATGTTATACATAATGAGAAAACTATTGATGAACTTTTACTATTATTTTAAAACTTTTATTTTATGTGTACCATTCTTTGACTTAGAAATTTATTTAAATTTTTCATTTTAGCGCCATGCTAAGGTTAGCTAAGTCTACACAACAAGAACTACACCGAGTTGAAATGTTCGCCCTAGAAACATTCAGTTAAACAATTTTTTGGTATGTACAACAATGCAAACTATATTTTAGAAGCATTGAATGCTATATATTCGGAAAATATCGGTCATCATAAACTTTGCTTAAAGTTCGATATATATGGATGTAGCACACACACACAAACATGCACACACGTTTTATTGCTTTCACTTTTATTTATTTTTTATTATCAACAAAACAACAATAATATTAATAATATCCTTTAAATAACGACATTCACTGCAATTCAAATAAGATTTAGCAACTACTCGTACAAATAACCTAAGGTATGTATGTAAGTTTATCACAGCCTCTTCAAAATACAGCATTTGCTGTACGAGTACTATCTCGTAAAAACGCCAAAATTCTTATTTACTCTCACAATTTGTTAAACATAAAATGCTTCATTGAAATCGAAACTAAGTATTTATTTCTATAAGACTCTACTATAAAATAAATTAGAGAAGAGTTATCGATACTTTTAATATGTTAGGGATAATACCAACTTTGAATGATATTGAGTAATAGTAAGTAAAGTAGTAGTATAAATTTGTACACTAGTAAGAGAGGACACTGTGGCTGTGGTGAAGTTGGTAATAAAAATAATTTTATATTTGAGTAATATAAATAGAGTAGTATTAGAATTAGTAAGCTATACCTTATTCCCCTAATCGCCTCCTTGTGTGCCTGAAACATTTTCACGTTATTCATATTCGACTGCCAATACTTGACGTAGCCCGAATGATCACCAGTCACCATCCAGCTGTCATTATGGGACCATACCATTGTACGTACTGGAACATCATGAGCCTAGTATTGTAAGCCATTTTTACAAGTGGTTAAGTAAAATATCCATTCAGGGACAGCAAAAATGTTTCGATGAATGGGAAGATCACAAAAAGATAGGAAATAACAAATATAAAAAAAATTGATAAAAATACGTACTGACAAGTAATAATGTATAATAAATTTCGATAGTTACCAAAAATTATAATTACAAAAAATTAACTTTTTCATTTTAAAAGCTTTTTTCTTACTTGCAATATAGTTTCAAAATTGAATGTCAACCCGTTCCATAGAGTGAATTCACCTGAACTGGCGCCAGTTACCAAACGTCTACCTTCTGGTGTCCAAGCGAGTGTAAATATTGGGCAACGCATTTTATTCGTGGCAGTTTTGACAAATCGTGTAGTCACTGCATTTGAGGGATTATCCAAGTAACTGGACGGTGGTAAAAGTTCTGGCACATATATATTTTCGGGTTGTGGGGCATGCCGATCACGATGATCACGCGTCCAAAGACGGGTCTGTAAAAACAAAAAGGAAATACTTTTAACACTTGAATTATGAAGGTGCTTAAAAATCTGTACCTCCAACGCTTTTACAATGGAAGCATTATAATCAACGGTTTTCCGCATAACACTTTTCCTTAAACGCTTGCCATCAAAATCATCTTGTGTCATGCCAAAAGGTCGCTGAAAGCCTCCGGGATTGAATGGTTTAAAATATGGATGGCCTGGCTTCCCAGAACCCCCATGATGTGGATGGTAGTGGTTACGGTGATGGGAGCCATATGAGCTTCCACCTCCGGATTGTGATGGTAGTAATGTTGCATTTGTTGCTAGCGCCGATGGTGCTGTCAATTGAGGTGGTGGTTGAGAGACATCTGTTTGTGGTAGTGTAAGTTGTTGGAATTCCATATCTTTAGCTAATGTTAAGAAGTAAAAATTTTCTCATTCTTTTATTTGTTTATACTTTATTATTAGTTATAAATTAGTGCCGTACATTTCTTGATATTAACTTTGTAAATGCGAAACTCGAACAATTAATAACTTATTCTAGTCCAGCGGCAGACACTCACGCTTTTTGTTTCAACTTGGATAAGACACGTATACAAATATTCGCTTCTTTGTAATTTTTCGAAGAATTATTAAAATAAAGAACTTTCTAGTTAACACAACATATGTAAGTAAAATACTTTCTACGCCATTTCTATAAAAATTGGAATTAAAAACTTTTGCAAATTTTCTGAACGAATGAAAGACGAAGAAAGCGCATGAAAACCTTTTATATCAAGTACGGAATGAAGTTAGATGAGCTTGTAGTCATCGCAATTTTATTAGCCCAGAGTAATTGATATGAAAAACTATTGACATTCTGTCGCATTACCATTTATTTTGGAAATTTATTTCACCCATTTTTATTTTGCAATTTAAAATATATATATGTATAATAATAAAAAATTAGTTATATCAGAATATAATTAAGTTTTTAACAATAAGATTTTTAATTTTATAATACATATTAAGTTATGCCGATTTTTTTCAGTTAAAAAGGCACTATCTGCAAGGGTGTCAAAAAATAATAATTTTAAGGCATCCCTGTATCTTTTTGCAATGTTTTGTCCATTCAATCATATTTGCCAACTTAGTGCTTTTTAAAAATTAAAACGCCTAATAATGGTTTAGTGCCTAGTCCCCTTTTTAGTACTTTTTTCTGAACTCAACATAAATTAAATTGCGGCAAATATGGCTACAATTTGAAACTGACGAGGAAATAGACAATTAATTTGTGTTATGCATAACTTTATATATTAAATGTATAGAAATTAATTTTTACACAAATTTGTTATGAACGAATAAATTTTGCAATATAGTATATCAGTAAGATGTATTTAACAATATGATAAAATAATATAAATTGATACGGAATTGGGATTTTTAATTTTATAGTTATTATAAATGTTTAAGAGCTATTCAATAGCTATGAGCGAAAAAGTAAATTTAAATCATAAGATCTGTACATTATATGTATGTTTATTTCTACTTTTGTTAAATATAAACTGTTATGAAAATATATTATTTGTATTAAAAAAAATTAGTGCTTTTTTGTCGAATAACGCCTTTTTTTGTACCGTTTTGGTGCTTTTTGAAATTTAAAAGCTGGCAACTATGCATTCAATACAGTCAGCCGAGTTTTATTCCCTCATTACACATTGGAAGTTGAAAAGTGCGTTGTTGTGCTAGAAATTTTTTATACGCTCTAATTTTAAATATATATTAGGAAAACCCATTCAAATTGTTTTCATAATCAAGATAAAAGTGAATTTGTTATATGATTGTGGAATAGTTAAAAACAAAATTAATAATAATTAAATTTAATTTAAATTAGAACAAATATAAAGAATGCATATGTATACAAGAGTTGAAACAAAGCATTAGTATATTTTGAAGATACGAAAAAAGGAAACAAAGTATTTAAATTATGGTGTAATATTGCATATTGTGATATTTGCCTGCAAATAGTCTCTATTTTGTATATACAAGCAGGTTTAAAAAGCAAATTATTTGAAGAAGTTTTCGCATATAAGAGATGAAATAGAACAGTGTAAAGAATAGAAGCATATAAGAAAAGCGAAACACGGAGAAAAGCTGGCATAAATAAAGACGAAAATACGCACATAGGGATAAAAAGGCAAACATACACAGTGCTTGTGAACGGGTACGGGTAATACAAACATCGAGCAAGTGATGAAACAAAAGAACTGCAAGAAGTGAATAGAAACTACACCAATTTATTTGCTGTCCGTGTTTAGAAATCGACAAAATTGTACCTTGGTTCATAATTACTATAAAAAGAAAAACAAGTTAAGGTTTTGGAGATTCGGTTGGATAAGCTCTCGTGTGAATATTTTAATTTTTTTATCCTTCATCAATTTTCGTGAAAGCTTGTGATAAAAAAGATTGAACAGTAACAAACAGGTCTTACTTTTAATTTCGAAAATTTTGGATTTTTAATAAAGTAGATCTAAATTAATCATCAACCAAATTACAGGGTAAGTAGAGCTTTCATTTTGTTTGGCATATTACAACTTTGTAATTTCCTTTTTTGCTTTTCTTTATAAAGAATAATTTTTGATCTCTTGCTTACTTTTCTATTGAATCACGGTCCGTTTCCCTATTTACATGCACTTTACATTGTTTTTGGTGCTATCTCTTTTCCACATTTGTACGTGATTGACTGCAACTGCAACCATGCAGCAGTGTACATATGGATACACTCACCGTTGTATGCATATACAAATAATCATATGGGAGCTAGGTGATGTTTTTGCTTACGCTTTTTTGTATTAAGCTGTAAGTTAAAAGGAGCAATGACGTGCCTAGGTATGAATGTATGTATATACTTTTAAGCGAAACAACCTTAGGTAGCCCTTTTTTTGTTTAGTACTTGCGCTCTCATATTAGGTAGACTAATCATTGTAACACTTTGCACCCCCACTGACGAGGTCTGTATATTTATGTATATGGTTTAACAGTGTCGTTCAAAATATTTGCAAGCTATATGAATTGCCGAACCAGTCTTGAACGAAGCCAAGATTTTTCAACACTACTGCAACCAAAATGTTCAATTTCATGTTTCTATAAGCGACGGATATAGTATAATATGCTGTATATGTGTCAAATGTGCATCGATATAAACAAATATGCGATCATACCTGTCACATGTTAATCTTTGCAATTTAATTCAAATGTATTGCAGAGAGAAAACGGTGTCGAAAATAGAACTACATATGAATGTATGCATGTGTGTATATATTTACACATATTTTCACCAAAGATAGCACCAGACAATGCGACTTCAATGATTTATGGGATACATATTATATATCACTACTGCTGTACTGCATTTAATGCATTGTCACTTCGATTTGCATAAAATATTCCAGTATATACAATATGTATGTATGTACATAAATACGTTTCTTAAAAACTCGAAGTACTCGAAGCACTGCACAAATCATTGTATTGCACTCTTACTTAAAAATATAATAATCAAAGGTCAAACAAGAGTCAGAAACATTAATACATACGTTTTCTAAATTTTTTTTTTGGTTTTAAATACATTTATTTTGACTTCTCTGAGCAATAAATAAAATCACCGCTGATAATATAATCATTGACTTGTATGTAAAAAAGACGTCATTACTTGATAATTATTAATCACTGAAATGACCGATTGTCGGCAGAATTCGTTTTGGGATAGGATACGTGTAAAATGCCAACCTTAATTGATTTAAGCATTAATTCTTCCTGTTCATATGCTTGATCGAAATAAGAACCCAATAATTTCAAAAGATTTCACATATGCTCGGATACAGTAAGGGACAAATGTATTCACGAATATAGATAGTTTGAGTTCGCGTGTTATATAATCACTTTTATGCAATATTTTTCCATTGTAAATATTTTTTTAATTTTTTATAACCCAAAAAATAAAAAATATCGTGAACAATTTTATCCTTTACTGTACATATGTATATATATATACATACATATACGCTCTTACTAACATATGTATGTATGTTCATCTATTTTTTAAACCTTTACGATGGGAAGTTACGAAGTCATAGAAAATGGTTATGATGAAAAGCTTATCAATAATAGCAAACGAGTCTAATATCTCATAAAGTGTCCTCATTTTTTTTATATCTACTGTCCTCCCCAATTTTTTTTTTTTTTTTTAAAACCACCATTGAAATTAATATTATGATATTCATCTAATTTATAAATTATAACAAAATAGATATACTTAAAACACTACTTATTTAATTCGTCGTTTTAAGAGTGTTTTGTCTTAATATTTTGTAAAATTTGAAAATATAGTGTGGATAGTTCACTATCGGAAGAATGTAAAATTTTTTACATTTCCTTGGACTGCATTTTAACATTCATATTGGCTACTTCAGTCGAATATGTTTAAATACCAGGTGTACCGTTATGAAGTGAGCATTAAAATTTGTTGTGAACGAGCCTTAATTTTTTTCTGTTTAGTTGGCATGACATCTGTCAAACATATTCAATAACCTTACAGTCATTGAACCCACTTCATTGTGTTGAAAATGTAAAATTTTGTACCGGATAGTTATAATTTACGGAAAGCATTAGCTTTTCATTTGAAGAAAAGTGGTGCAGAGTCGCATCGAATGCTTGCCGAGGCATATGGTCATCATGCTCTATCAGAAGCAACATGCAAAAGATGGTTTCAACGGTTAAGAGATAATGATTTTGAAGACCACAAAAAAGTTTGAAGACGCTGAACTGCCTTGAGTCAAAAGAAAAAGGCAGCCATGTTAAATGTTCCACAAAAAACAATTTCAGACCGTTTGAAAGCTATGGGAAAGATCCAAAAGTATGGAAAATGTGTGCCATATGATTTGAATGAAAGACAAATGGAAAACCGAAAAAACAGTTAAGAAATTTTGCTTCAAAGACACGAACATAAAATCAGTTTTGCATCGAATAGTCACTGGCGATGAAAAATATGTATATTTAAAAATCCTAAACTGAGAAATTCATGGGTTAATCCGGAATAACCATCAACATTGATTGCAAAAACAGATTGATTCGGTAAGAAGGCAATGCTCTGTGTTTCGTGAGCAGCACTTTGATTCCTACGCAAAAGTCGAAAATTGGGTATCTGATTGGTTTGCTTCAAAATACGAACATTTCTATAGGCATGATATCCACAAATTGCCAGAAAGGTGGTCAAAATGTGTAAAAAGCAATTCCCAATCAAAATTAGTACTTCATTTTAACAAAAAAAATGCTCATACTTGGTATATGCATATGTACCATATGTAGTTTTCCCAATGTTCCAAATGCATATGTTCCACTATTACTTCCGCATTTCAATTTATGGTGCCCACTGTTTCACAACCTGTGAAATTAAATGCCACTATCGACTGGTGGCAGCATTAAACAGGTGAACGCAGTGGAAGTGTTTGTGTTTGCATCTGTACATACGTACATATACTCAGTTTTCTTATGTAAAGTCGTTAAAAGAATAAAAAGAAATGCATATGTTGAAACATGTACATACATATGTATATCTTATATTTACCCTCCAGTGTACTTTCAGTGAAAATTAACTTTAGCAAGCAACTTTTAGAAAATGGGGCTGGGATTCCCAAAGATCCTTAAATATGATACACTACCTGTAAGTAGGTACAAATGTACATGGAAAATATAGATTATCTTACTACCTACGAAAATCTACTAAAATATGTTCCAAGTTATTTAGATTATCTAGTTCAGTTCAAAGTGTACAAAATGAATGTATAAAAAATATTGTTAAATTCTCAAGCTAGTGTAACCAAGGTGAATTAAAACGTAGGTAAGATTTTTTTCAAATTCAAAGCATAGTTTAGTACTATATTTTTGAAATTTAGCTTTCTGATCTACGTTTTCAGCTAGATTTTTAGCCGTAAGTACGTGTGCATAGAGAATGGCGCCCCTTTTCTATTTCTTGGCTTATCAAGAAAAGTGTTCACTATGGTACATAGTTAAAAAGTTTTTTTATTGAAAGTTATTTCTTATATGTATAAAGAAAAATCTGGAATTCTATACCAGACTTACGTTGATTCCGATCGATTGGGGTATGGCTCGCTACTTTAATTTTTTTAGTAAATAATATGTTGGTCAGGAACGTGAAAAATAAATAAATAATTCAATAAGAACAAGTATACTATTACGTCTTCATTATTAGCAATGTTATGTACATATGTATAGCGAAAAATTTCAAGTAGTAATTTT